GGTGGGGTGTCTCCAGTACTGTAGAAGAGAGGAAGAAATTAAGAGAGGTGAAATTTTCGTGCGGATACTGAGAGAAAATGTGCTTTCAATCAAAACGAAAATCTGGACAAATTTTGTTGGCAAGATTGAAATACTGTTTTGAGCTACTTTAAAAAAGTAGGAGAATTCTTAAAATATGTAGTCTTTTTCCTCAATGAACACCCTCTCTTTCCGTTTCTTGAGTGACAGTCTGTTACGCAAGAAATAGAAAGACTGAATGATTTTCTCAATTGAAAGTAAATGCTATCTTTTTAAAGGGAAAATTTAATATAAAATGGAGAAAAACAGGATTTTTTTTTTCCCTTTCTGTAAATAATCTTATGTTTCAAAAAATCCGCGGGATTACATAAGGTTATCAGATCCCCACCATGTGCAAGTTCTAACCTACCTGCAAAATTTGAATTCAGTGATTAATTTTTTTCTCTCCTAGGTTGCACTTATAGCTCTACCTCCAAGTCTTTTCAGAGATCATGTAGCTCCATGAGCCACGTTTAGCATAATCAAGATAATCATGTAAGTGCAGGAAGTCTGGGGTTAAAGAGAACTACAACCAGCTATAATTAGACAAATATCTGTGAAGGGTTCAGACCATTCTGCTTCGTCTTCTTGGGATTTCTGTCAGGGCCGTCACTTTTCTGGCTACTTGGCAACGATGGTTGCGTTTTTGCGGTGCCTCCGTAGCAGATTTGCTGCCTCTTTTGACTGTTACATACATGGGAAATACGATGCAGGAAGTTGTCCTGTATTCAGTTCTGTTCCCAGGGTCATCCTCTTTGAGTTTCTAGAGTTTTCACACTCAGGTCACTGGCAGAAGCTCAGGACTTTTGGCTTATGTTTCAGTCTCCAAATTATTCTGTTTTCTGTTCGTGGGCATGTCAGGCCAGCATCAGGACCCATACATGTGCTTTCTCTGGAAATCCGTGTCTTGTCCTTTAAACTGGCTACTGTCCTACACAGCTTGGAAGGGGGTCTTTCACATGGGCTCCCATCCCTGTCCAGGAATCCGTGAGAGTGTTTCTGTCGTTTTCCAGAGACTTTCTGCTGGAGTAACAAAGTTTTTTTAAAGTAATTGAAACGAGTCAGAGCTCTCCCAGTATCTGCTCACATTGCGCCTCTCCCAGCCAGGCAAGTGCATTTTCAGCAGCTCTAAGTGAGGCAATTTTTAAAAACTGCAGCAATGATAATAATGATGTGATAAATCTGATTTGGTGTAAAGTGCTGTCAGATCAGGCTTGGATTTAAAAAAAAAAAAAACAACACAAAAATCACCAACAAAACAATTCAAACCCAATAGAAATAATTCCTTAAAAGATTATAATAGTGATAGCCTTGTTTTCGAGCAGATGACTAGCCCCTGAGAGAACTTAGCACCTCTGAATATACTGGAGCACTCAGAACCTAAAATACAGAGGATGGAAAAATTAGACTTACATAAAAACAGTTGTGGTGAATTCAGATCTGTGGAACACTAGTCAGGGATTTAGAGCAGTCGGACAGTTTGGATAAATCATAGAATCATAGAATGGTTTGGGTTGGAAGGGACCTCAAAGATCATCTAGTTCTAACCCCCCTGCCGTGGGCAGGGACACCCTCCACTACACCAGGTTGCTCAAAGCCTCATCCAGCCTGGCCTTGAACACTTTCAGGGATGAGGCAGCCACAACTTCTTTGGCCAACCTGTTCCACTGCCTCACCACCCTGAGGGAAGAATTTCTTCCTTGAATCTAATCTAAATCTCCCCTCTTTCCGTTTAAAGCCATTACCCCGTGTCCTGTCGCTCCAGGCCCTTGTAAAAAGTCCCTCTCCAGCTTTCTTGTAGCCCCTTTAGGTACTGGAAGGCTGCAAGAAGGTCTCCCTGGAGCCTTCTCTTCTCCAGGCTGAGCAACACCAACTCTCTCAGCCTGTCTTAATAGGAGAAGTACTCCAGCCCTTGGATCATCTTGTGGCTCTCCTCTGGGCCTGATCCAACAGCTCCATGTCCTTCTTATGTTGGGGACCCCAGAGCTGAACACAGCACTGCAAATGAGGTCTCATGAGAGCAGAGCAGAGGGGCAGAATCCCCTCCCTCGACCTGCTGCCCACGCTGCTTTTGATGCAGCCCAGGATACGGTTGGCTTTCTGGGCTGCGTGTGCCCATTTCTGCCTCGTGTTGAGCTTCTCATCAACCAACACCCCCAAGTCCTCTCCTCAGGGCTGCTGTCAGTCCATCTCCACACAGACTGTACTTGTGCTTGGGATTGCCCCAACCCATGTGCAGGACCTTGCACTTGGCCTTGTGGAACTTCATGAGGTTCTCGCAGACCTCTCCAGCCTGTCCAGGTCCCTCTGGATGGCATCCCTTCCCACCAGTGTGTTGACCACACTGCACAGCTTGGTGTTGTTGGCAAACTTGCTGAGGGTGCACTCAATCCCCCTGTCCATGTCACTGACAAAGATGTTGAATGGTGCTGGCCCCAACATTGACCCGAGGAACCCGTCACTGGTCTCCACTTGGACATCAAGCTGTTGATCACCTCCTCTTCTCCCCTGCCTGTCCTTCCTAAGGAGCCTTCCATTCCAACACTCCAGTCATAGGATTCATCCCACCACATCTCCGTGATGCCAATAAGATCGGAACCCTGCAGGCGTGCTCACACCTCCAGCTCCTCTTGCTTATCCCTGTGCTGCGTGCGTTTGCGTAGAGGCATTTCAGTTGGGCCCCAATGAAGCCGACCTACTGGCTGGAGTGGCTGGAATTCCTTTCTGCTGCTCTTCAGGTGCTCTCAGCTTGTCTTAATCAAGCCTGATATTATCCCTCTCCCCCTTCAAGTCTAGTTTAAATAATAAAGTGCATCTGAGATTTACTCAGAATGGTAGATTTTATAGGCAGTAGTATCCTAACAGCTTGAACCAGCTGTTTGTAGCTGCACATTAAAAACTTTGACCTTGAACTTTCATGCTTCTCTCCCTTCCCCACCTTGGCTTTCTTGTAGCAGCCACAGCAGCATCCTTTCTTGCAGGAACTGTGATGCCTTTTTGCTGTTGCCCGGGTTTACCCACTTGGTAATTTTTTCTTTCCTGTTTTTCATTTGTTTCGGACATTTTATAGCAAGTGGTGATGGTCCTGTGTAGTAGTGTTCCCTGAGGTTTAAGAGCATTCATTCATTGCCAGAAATGCTATATAAAATGGCTTTCTTTAGAGAAATCTTTTTTTTCCTTTATAAAATGCAAATTGAATATTTAAAAAGGCATCATATACAGAAAGTGTGCTGAAGGAATTTGAAGTGTGTGGAATGCTCCCAGCTACCTCCTCTGAGGATTTCTTCAGCATGCTTGTTTTCTTGTTAATTAGAAAACCTCTGTCAATAGAAGAGATCTGCCAGTTGTCACATACATTAGACAGCATATTATCTCCAAAGGTAAAAATTGTTCGATAGACCACGTTAAGTGTCCATCAGCCTGGGAGCATCTAACTTCAGTGGGACTCACTGAGATGAATAATTGTGCTTCTTCAGGTATCCAAACCATATGGCAACACTAACTTAGTAACTGAGGAAGTGCTGGAGGCACTGAGTAGCCTCAGCCGTATTTAAAAGGAACATTCAAGGCACTTAATGTGTCTTGTGATACTGAGAAGGATTCGTGTCAGTGGAAAACATACTCATTTGTTTATAGAAAAATAACATTCCAGCAAAATATTGACATGCTCTCACCTCTTTGAATGTATAAGAACTGATACGAATAACTCAATGCACTCCACAGCTGTGCATTAATTGCGCAAATCTGTAAGTCTGTCGGTTAGACCTGTGAGCAGGAAATCGGACCTGTAGTACGTTTCCCTGTGGACTGGGTGCAAGGTTGCATGATTTTGTGTGTCATACAGGTAGAAGATTTCCAAAGGGAATCTGTCTATATGCAAATCATCCTTCCGCTTCGGTAGCAAAACAGCTGTGTGTACAAACACGTGCTGACCACCAGCATGCGAGAAAACTCTGCCTAGAAAAATACCATTTGATGTTAATTTATTTATTTTTATGTAGCCTATGTTGGTTTTTCACTCTATTACAGTATGTTTGCACAACCAATAAGGACACCCAGAGTTGACTATTGATGTTTATTGAATCATTGACATCAAATAAACACTTTTGGGAGCCTGACCATGGAAGTAAAAGCATTCCTTTGAGAGGGGAGAAATCAGAAATCCTTACTGGGAGAAAAGGATGTCTGCTTGTTTCATTTTTAAATGTCTGAGGAGAAGGCATGATTTCGGGTGGCATGACTGAAATGTGGACACACCAGGGTGGGACTTCTGGTATGGGGCATAAGCAGTCAGGTTCCCAACTTGCCGTTGAGATGCTCTGAGATGCATTAACCCTTTACACTGTGCAGCCTCTTAGGTGAAAAAGGTTTTTCCATGCTAGTTCCAAGTCAAACTGTGAAGTCAGTCATCTAATCTGCTCCAACTGGAACAGTTCCTATCCCTCTTTAGTGCTTACTGTCTGGACAGATTGTAGTGTACAAGGGTTCAGGTCTCATTAATGTGTCATTTAGAATTGAAAACCATTCAATTTCAATTTGAAATAATTGGCATATGTTGTTCTTTTTTGCTCCCTATTTACTGATTTCACTGACCTGAGAGGAAACCATCTAATTATTCCACTTTAGTAGCATCAGAACAAATACTTAAGAGCCTGTTTTAGTCATTTGGGAACAGAAAATTGGACGCGCATAGTGGGATTATTCTGCGGTCTGGGCGCAAAAGCAAAGGAGCACTCTTAAATTCCTGAAGTGGGGGAGTTGAAAGCTCTCAGTACTGCCTGTCCCATTCAACTGGATCCTTTAGTGTGTGACAAAGCCATTCACTTAGATGGGAACATTAATGCACTGAATGTCAGCAGCAGGAAGCCAAAAAGGAGTGAAGAGAATTTTTTAGTGATCTGGCAGTTTACTTCACCAAATGCAAATGATACACAATTATTTTCTCATTGCTCTGTTTCACTCTCCCATGCTGATCTCTTTCCTGGGTGCTGACGTTTTTTTTCTACCCTGTCTTTGCTAACATTTTCTCCTGAATCAAGCAACAAGCTGCCTTTCTTACAGGTGAAGGACTCCTGAAAGTTGCAGGGGCCTGCATCATCTGGGCTGTCAGAATTCCAGTGCCTTTTTCCAGGGCGCTGGCGTTCCTCACCATACTGGTCATTTAGGTCTACCTCATCATTCCAGCCTCTTTTGTTGGGATGCTGACGCTTGTACATAAGGTACCTTCTGCCTGGATGCTGTCTTTTGAATAACTGATTCAAGTAGGTTAGCTGTGCACTAGGGATGTCAGCATACTGATCCAACAGTGACCTCCTGCCAGGATGCTGTTGCTTTTTCAGCTCCAGATAGCTATCCAAGTCGTCTTCTATCTCTCTTTTTCCTGGATGCTGCCTCTTCTGAATGTCACCATAAGATGTGTCTTCCTCAACATCCCTTTTTCCAGGATGCTGTCTCTTCTCCAGGTCACTTAGGTACTTTTTCTCAGGGTGTTTTCTTTTGGATAGCCATTCTGGCAGAAGGGCATTTGATTCTGTCCAAGGAAAAGAATAATGTTAATGACCCCCCCATAATCCTCACTAAGAAGTTGAAATGGGAATTTGTGGAGTTCTATGGTGCAGGATCATAATCTGTTGCTCATTATGCCCATTTAATTGCACAGTTAACTGTATAGTCTTGAATTTGATCACTCTGGATGGCATCTGTCAAAACATTTCTGGCACATTTTTAGCAAGGGTGGATTGACACACTAGGAACTGGCTGCAGCCAGATGGGAAGACATGCAGTGACAAAACCTAATGTGTTGGTTCAGGTAAATGTGTCAGATTCAGGTAAAGGGAGGTAAGTAAAAACTGCTGAGCAGCTGGAAGAAATCAACTGCAGAAGCTGGGTATTGGGAAGAGCTGGAAATCAGCGTGAGACAGGGAAAAGATAGGGCTTAGACACGAGTAGAAGCAGGGATGTGGACATTTGAAAGCCAACTCAGTATTTCCAGCTATCAATCATAACTCTATTAATAATCTCTTACTCATTCTTAAGTTCTTTTTAATATTTCAAGTCCTGGATAGACATGACCAACTCAGATTCATGTGAAGAGGGCGGAAGGCTCTTTATAGCTATAGACACATGGGGCCAGCTCCACTTTCCACTTTGAAAGGGCTCTGTGCTCCTTGTTGGTGACAGGCACCTCTGTGCTGCTTCTTGCAATCCCTGAGTCTGATTTGCCTCCACTGCGGTGAGTAGTGAGAGCAGAGCATCCGTAAGCTCGGAGCAGCCTCTGCATTCCTAGCCATGGAAAAGCCCACCTCTTGAGGTGTAGGTGGGTTGAGGTAGTAGGTGAATGGCAGCACTGCCACCTCCAATTAACATTAGGTACAGGGTCCACAACAGGGGAGCGTCCTCCACGTGTCCTCTTAGAGCTTCCCTGAGGAAGTACTTGCCAGATAGGCAAGTTTTCTGACAGGCTTCTACCTTCTTGTGCAGCAGCTGCTCAGTGATGGTACAGCATTGCCTGAGCAGGGAGACCTTGGAAAGCACCTTTGGAGAACTCTGGGTCAGTGTATTGCAGCAGACCTCCTATCCTTACCTTCTGCTTAGTTAGGTTAATAAATATATAGATTAGAACCTGGGAAATAGACACTGGATCTGATGGGCTCAGCCAGGTACTATGCCAGCATCACCAGATGGATGTCCCCAGTGTTATATATACCTTTATTCATCTTTTCTTCCTTTTCAGCTTTCTTGAGGACAGACTGAAGAATGAGGCTTTCAGACCTCTGCAGGATGTCATCCAGGGGACTTCTTCCTATGTTCTCACTTCCATCTGGAAGCGGCTGCCCCCCACTGAGGCAAACACCACACAAGGTCAGGCAGAGGAGTAGCAGTGGCAGCTGGATAGATGGCATTGTGGGATGGGGGTTCCTGCAGCTTCCATGGGAGAGAGAACAACAGGGGACAAGGATGGAGCAAACAAATCTAGCAAGCATAGCAGTATTTCCAGACATTGACAAAGAAATATGGCATTGCTGTAGGGATTGAACTCTTAAGAGAGTCCTTCCTCATTTCTGTGACTAACCTCTCAGTTTATTTTATGTTCTTCAAAGAATCTGTATATTCTTCATAATTAAAACCAGGCACTTTTTCATTTTTCTGGCAGAATAAATATGAACATTTTGAACACCTAAACTTCCTGATGCACAGATAGTTCTGAAAGCCAATGATTTTGCTTTGCCTTCTGCCAAGAGGCAAAAATAATTTCTCTCTGGAATTCTGTGTTAACTGTTGCCCCATGTGAGGCACACACTCATACACCTACACTAACAATCTCCACCAAGTGATTCCTTTTGCTAAGGGTTCGTTTTAAAATAATACTGGGATTTGCAGCACTTTTCATTCCACCTTCGGTTAAAGCCTAGCTTTAATAGCTCGCTCGTTCCTTGGTATCTATTTCTGAACGTTTAAAGCAGCCGTGTGTCTGTGTATTGGTCAGGGTAAGAAGATATCTGTGCTCCGTTGGTCGGGGAGATTTCTTGCACAGGGGAAGCACCTCATATTTTTTTCAGAGCTGTAATAATAATCATATCTTCTATTACCTCTTGCCCAGATAAGTGTTTTTCTATTTCTTCTAGCTAGCACTGGAATTCCTAATGCACTTATCATGGGTTTATTTCACAGAAAGCAGAGTTCCTTCAGTAGAGTGGAATACATATTTAATACTAGTATAGCAGTCACTTAGCTTAATTATATCTTCAGAACATGAAAGAAATGCACAATTTTACCAAGTTCTACAAATTTTTAAAATAGGAATGAGTTTATTACCTCTCTTATTGGCAGGTTTCTATCACTTCTGATTAAATCCTTGGATAACAGCTCTAAGAATATCACATAGGCTATTTGGCTTATAGCAATCTTTAGAAGGAAAGTTAGAATCAGTTAAAAAGGAAATGATTTGGTAAATTACCTGGTTTGCAGTTTCAGATTTTTGCTTGATGCATCTGCCAAGAGATTGTTTAGTCCGTTAAAGCTGTTTGCACATCTGAGCTTCAAAGTTGCCTTTTTTCTGCTACAGACACACAGAGCATCCAACAGAACTGTTGCTAAGTTCTCTGTGGATGGCTTGTGTCTCCCTACTTATACTGTACTGCCTCTGGACCCTTTATGCAAATAGCTGTGAGGTAATTTAGGTGATGTGTTGTTTTCTTTTTTTTTTTTTACTGATGTCAGAGATCTGCATTTTGAATGCATTTTAAAACTTTGATAGTTGTTTACTGACCTCTGTATATCCATGCTCGACTCCCAGAAATTGCTATTTTTCCATTCTCTAAAGAGACTATGTCGGATTTTATGTAACACAGCATAGAGAAAAGGAGGTTTTTCTCTGCTTAACAAAATGAAGCTTGTACATTCTCTATCAAGCAAGCACTGTGGAGTAAATGCAGAGAGGCAGGTAATTTATTAAGCTAAGGAAGAAAAACAATGAACAAAATAGAATTGATTATATTTAGACAAATGTATACCCTGGGTTCTTATTCTGAATGACACTATACAGTTTTTGGCTCTCAATTCCGTATTTTCTTGGCATAGGCTTCCATAAGCAATACATTAGAATATGGGGTGCATAGCATTAGATATTAAAACGTGGTTGTGTTACTGCTGTGTCCTTCAAAAACCATTGTACTATTGCAACTAGAAATAAGACTCCCTCTCTTTAACCCATCTGTCTATTTAAGATATTCTTTCACATGGTAGTACTGAAAACAGATCGTGCAGGGAGCACAGATAAAGAGTTAGCCATTCTTTCATAATCTTAGTGATCCTGATGACATGTAGGACTAAATCTGGAGTATGGATTCCTCACAGTATTGAAGCAATTCAGGATTCTTTTATTGTTACTACATGGAAGGTTTCAACCAGGTGAAGTCAATGTTTTTCTGCTTTCTCATTTACTACCATTGTCAAGAGCACAAAACTACCTTTGTGCATCCTTCTCATCACTGCCATCAAAGTGTTTGAGTTAAAATTTGTCTTCAGCAGTAAGTAGTGACAAAAACTAGCAACCTGTCACCATGGCTTGGGAACACCTTTCTTGGTAGGACGCTGGCGTTTTAGCAGCTTTCTAGGGTACCGTGCCACAGCCTGAGACAGAAGGCATTTTGGGGGTACTCTTAAAAGCACTGCACTTAGAAGTTGATCAGTTATGCTTACAGGTAATGGGGATCCTCATGTGGCCTGTAAAATTTTCTTTAAGGCAAAATGCATTTTGTATCTGAATATATGATGGAAATATCACATAAAACTAAAAAGGGGTGAAGTCAGTTGCTCTCTATCAACCTATCAGAATTTAACAAAAAACTGTCATCTTACAGAGCTTTTTTTCTCCACTCCATTCAACTTTATATGATGGATCAGAAAATGCACAAGAATAATCTTGTTTTTGGTTCTTTAAGAAATGAAAGCTAACTTCTTTGGGGTAACTTCAGTGGAATGCATCTGTTACTTCAGTTTTGTTCCATGAGAGCGTGGTCATCTCCTGAATTTTGTCTTAATATCTCAGGAAAAATGCATCAGTAATTGTATCCAGATGTGCTTTTTGATATTAATTACCCTGATGTAATTTGAGAAGAGTCTTGGAGATTGGGGCTTACAGCATTATAACTGCATTTGTAACAATTATATTAAAAATGGAATATATTTTCCCTCTTGTTTGAATTTCTAAGGGAGTTTGAGACGTCATGCACCTTATGTGCAGAGCACATCTATGGCTTTATGATGATGTTGTCTTTGTGAATCTCAGACCATGTCAGTATTGTTTCCCTGAGCAGGCGTCAGAACCAAAGGTCTGCAAGGCAATTCAATTCAAAGATCAAGAGGAAATTTACTATATTGGGCCAGTAAATGACTACTGGTCAACTAATAGTGCCTTATCCAAAGCAGAGATCCCTGTAAAGAGAGTTCCTTTGTATTTTTAGTTTTAAGCAATGCACATAAGGCTTTCCAGGAATCTAAAGAATGCTAGGAAGTGTTTTAAATGCTTTCATTAATACCAGAGTTGCTTGTTTAACAAAGCAGTAGCTGTCTGTAGCTTAGTCCCAGGTTTGCCTGGGACTAACAAAATGCCCAATCTAGAGTCCACTGAAATCAGCCAAATTTCTCCTTTAAGTGGGGTTAGCCTTGGAACTTGCCTGTCTCTGACTTGAAACGATCCACATACTGAACTGAATTTTAAGAAATCCTCTCACACTTTGAAGCATGGCTCTTGAAAAACGTAGAGGGGAAAAGAGAAGGTTAAACAGGTAGAACACTTTCACATGTACGAACTCATATAAGCAAATTAACTCAAGGAATAGCTAAGAATTTGATATTAAAAATACCTCCCATATGAATGTATTTTGTCTTAGCACTGAGTGAGTGAGTCAGATGTCACTTGTGATACAGCAGTTGACATACTGAATTTCTCAGCTACCTAGAAATTATGGGATGGCTAAGAGTTACGCTTTAGAACTTTGTATGACTGCAATTTAATAAATCTTCATTTGCCACATGTCTCCAAAGTGCAAATCCCCATAATATGTAATTATGAGCTGGAAATAATTCTTATCATGTAATTCTGCCTCCGCTCTGGGATGAATGCAGAGAGTGTAGAAACCTGGCGTTTGTAGCTCCAGCTTACATACAGCAGGAGCTGCTCCATGCAGCAGCCTCTTACTGAGTCTTGCAATGCACATGCAGTAACGGCCGAATGCATGAGACTGTGTCACCCAAACCTTGGTTACTTTCTTTCTAAGACTCTCCAACCATCGCACACTAAACTGTGCCTCCTTATTTCTCTGAACAAGCTCCATTATGCTCTTTGTAGCATAGTCACGTACTAATGCCATAGATGTGGGAACTGCTGTTGCATCAGTCACAGTGAACCTCAGTACTTCATACTAGCTGTCTGGCATCTCCTTGGAGTAGTAACTCCTGAAGATCTCTTACGGTATGACACCTGAGTTGAAAAACCTAATATATTGACCTGTGAGTTAGAGCAGATATTGATGTAATGGGAACTGCGTTTTTAAACATGTCTTTAGAAAACTGAAGCAGAACAGTGAAGTGGTTAAGAATTCTGTTGCTGGCTTCCTGCAATGCTTTCTTGATAAGCTGCTGGAACCATACATGCCTTCTAAATAAAAAAAAAAAAAAAAAGATGTTTTCATCATTACTTGAAGGCTTCAGTAATTCTGAATAACTTCTTAATCTTACTTCATTGCATTTTTTTCTTCAGTAATCACAGTCTCTATTCTTTGTACGTAAAATATTTGGAGCATTGTGACTACTGTCACATAGAATTTATGTGACTTCTGCAAGGCAAGAATATGTGAAGTGAATTGGCTTGTTTTGGCAGGGTATTTTAAAAATTAGATTGCATGTTTTGGATCTACATATTGCGAAGAACCAAGGTTAAAAATTTGTCTTGCCCTTGGAGCACAAGATGGGGTTTGTACTGATCGTTATTTTCCAGTGGAGTTTATCCACAAATCTTGAGCCAATCCTTTAATCCCAATGGGAAGTTTTCTTACCTGCACAGACCGTCGGGCAGCCTCGAGCAGTTGGGAAATCTGAGCAGTTGTCTTGATGATTGTGTTTGGGGCATTGGTTCCTCAGCAGCCCTGCTAGGAAGCTGCTCTCAAAACTCAGGGAAATTTTTTTTTTCCAGCTAAAATGCATTTACAAAGCATTTCAGTTTTGAAAAAGCGTTTTCTGGCAGAAACTTGTTTCTGTGGTACCTCCGCAGTCAGCTCTTGCAGATGGGATGTTCGTATTACACCGCCAGCCCCAGCCCTCTAAATCACAAACAGGAACAGGTTTGCAAGGCAGGCAATACCTTCAGTCCCATTATCTCTGTACTGAGGGTTACCAGTAGGGTTACCAGTACCCCCATCCCAGCCACAGCTCGTGTCAGTCTCTAGTCAAAATGTCCAGCTATCATCCTGTTCGATTTAGCATTCCTATTTAATTAGAGGCATGAGGTGCCGTGGTTACTGCCTTGAGGGCCTTACACATGGAGAAGACAACAACGAGGTGTT